GCAGTCAGTATAGAGAGAGCCACCTCCATCTTAGCTCCCTGTCAATCATTGTTATAAGCTCCGCCCTTTACACCTGGCAGTCAGTATAGAGAGAGCCGCCTCCATCTTAGCTCCCTGTCAATCATTGTTATAAGCTCCGCCCTTTACACCTGGCAGTCAGTATAGAGAGAGCCGCCTCCATCTTAGCTCCCTGTCAATCATTGTTATAAGCTCCGCCCATTACACCTGGCAGTCAGTATAGAGAGAGCCACCTCCATCTTAGCTCCCTGTCAATCATTGTTATAAGCTCCGCCCTTTACACCTGGCAGTCAGTATAGAGAGATCCGCCTCCATCTTAGCTCCCTGTCAATCATTGTTATAAGCTCCGCCCTTTACACCTGGCAGTCAGCATAGAGAGAGCAGACAGAGAGGAGTAGGCATGAAACAATGTTTCTAAACTGGGTTATGATGGAGCTTCACTAAATTTTAAAAATAAATTGTAAAGAAAACTGAACATCACATAAAAAAAGTAAAGAATAAAAACACGTTCTAGGTGATTTTTAATGTTTATTCAGCGGTGAAAGTTCCAAAAGTAGAGACACGACCCTTTCAGTAACCAAAATTCTGTAACAGACTTAAACACAAATGTTGCATATATCACTTTAACAGAACTAAACTGGCTGTCACTGGAATCCCGACGCACCCTTCATCTTTCCAGCCTTGTGCTTTGAGCATTTCTGGGAAGCTCCCGCCCTACCTGAGTACAATGCTCTCCTCGGCTGTTCCCACCTCCTATAACCTCCAATCCAGTACTAGCCCGATATTTAGCATACCGCAATACAAAAATAAAGTGTCTCGATTATCCTTTTCCTACAGCGCACTATAATTATGGAATAACCTCAAGGACACAGTCAAATCTTCATTCAATCTAAAATCTTTTTATTAAATATATATATATATGTATATATTTATATAATATTTGTAACGGAGCTTCCTGTACCCCAGTTGGGTACCTCCGCCAACAGATGCTCCTAGTGCTCACCGAGGGCTCCAAGCACTCCACCAGACACCATAAGCACTGCAGACCCCACAACCGCTGCAGCTTGGTTGGGGTCTCGCCATCTCAAAATCAGATAATCCCTCCTCTGTGCCTGGGAGATAATTGGATCAGGAACTGTACTAATCTAAGCCAATTATCTCCAAGCATAGACAAAAACATACATTTTTACAACCACCCCCCAAATAACTTAAAACACCCCCACCCCCCCCACCCTCCCCCAGTCACATCCCCTGATAGCCGTGATCTGGGTGACCAACATATCCAAATATCACCCAGATCAGTTCAGGAATTTCCATGGAAGTCATAGTTTTGACCGACCTTACACATGGTCCTGTGTCCAAAGCAGTTCCAGAGAATTAGGGCTAACGGTCGGTCTCTCTGTCTGGAGTACGAAAGTACATATTTCACATGAACAGAGCCTTTTAAAGTGCATTGGGCAAGGTATATTGCAGGGCCCATAATCCTGAGGCAAGAGGCTGGCCAGCAGGCCCCTCCAAGAAGCAGTGACGAGGTTACTTTGGTCACAATATTGTATTTTTTTTTATATTGTACCATAATGTATCAATGCAGTGTTTGTGGACCCAGGACATACTTGAAAATGAGAGGAATCTCAATGTATCTTTCCTGGTAAAATATTTTATAAATAAATAAATACATTTGTAAAACATGTTCTTTCCTCTCGCTGATTACAGGTTGTTCCGTGATATTGTGGCGACAGTAGAATTCCTTCCGTATCCCACAATACATTGAGATGGAGATGTGGACGTGCCTTGCTACCATCAAGCTGGTGGGTGTTCAGTGTTTATCCGAGGGATACTCTGTATCATCTCTAGCTAACACAGATAATTACTAACAAGAGAATTGTCCTTATATTATTTTCCAGGTCAGCGTTTAGTATTACATTTTAAATTTACTATGAATTCTCAGCTTTTCCTATTTTATTAAATATTCCTCTAAGAGTGAAAGGACCAAGATTGTACGTTTCCACGGAAATCGGGTCCTTGTCCCTTCTGCATATGTTTGTCAAAATGTCTTATGTCTCAGATGTATTGTACCTTCATTTTTTTACATGTATTTATTGAACCCATGTACAGCACTGCGGCATGTGTTGGCGCTTTATAAATAAAGTATAATAATAATAATAATAATAATAATAATAATAAAGTAATCATATCCCAACAACCCCGGACTGACCAAGTCTCAAATCTGCTACAGGTCTGTTTCCTATATAAACCCTACAAAATAAAGTAAGAGAATTATTCTGCCCGTCCTCCGCTTTCCTTAGAAAATTAATCCAAAAAAAAAAATCAAAAATAGATTTCCAATAAAATCAACAAATCTAACTCTTGCCTACCTTGTTCTCTCGTACCTAAGGTCTCGTGTCATGTATTTTACTTAGCAGAGGTCATGTTTAATATATCTAGCCCCAACTCAGCTTGTGTCCAGATAACAGTACAGTAGCTGCCAATTCTGGCAAGTTCCTGGAAGGGATAATACTTTTTTCCCGAGAATATGCCCTTGAAAATCAGAGATGGGAACATCCAGGCAGAGTTCAGTGGGAGGGAGATTGGCCCAGCTCGGCTGCGTGCACCGAGGTGTCTGCTAACCTCGCATTTCTAAATGTAACACTTACCTTGCTGGAAAATGGTTTTTATTTCATGATGTTATTACCTTCCTTCATTTTTCCCCAACGCTGTTTTATTAGGAACTGTGTTTATTTTTAGAAGTTGTGTACTTACAGACAGATGTTACCTGTTTATTTGGTTATTGTGCATTACACCAGGAATTGTCACGTATTGATGAATTTGCTACATTTAAGGCCAGAGCAGCTGAATTGAGACATTTTCTCAATGTTTTTCAGATCAGTTCTGAATTCAGATTACCAGGAGAGGCTCAGGATGTCACTGTTTATATTTTATGTAAAATGCGTTTTCGCAGCGGATAAAAAGAAATGTGTTGGAGCAACTATGAGGACTTACCTTCTATTTAATAGATGTGGATGTTCCAGGCACTCTTATTGCAGAAAGGTGTCCCCACACTCTAAGCACACAAGTCCCTTACTGCAGGGCTAGGCAACCTCCGGCACCGCATATGTTGTGGACGACATCTCCCATAATGCACTTACAGCTATAGCATCAGGGCAGATGTAGTCCACAAAATCTGGAGTGCCAAAGCTTTCCTACTCCTGATTCATTTACAGCTGCCTGTTTCCACTTCTGCACAACCATCAAAGCATGGAGCACAATGATGGGCTGGATATGCCAGGCTTTCATTTCCATTCTAGGTTGGTGTCTTGCCAATATAGGATGCGTTTAAAGGGACACTCTAGGCACCAGAATCATTACAGCTTAATGCAGTGGGACTGGTGCAGTCCAATAATGGTAAACAATGCATTTTTAAATCTCAGATGTTGACAGCAGGCTACTGAATTTATATAATCTATCACACATGACAAAAAAAATAAAAAATTCAATGTCTGGCAGAGTCATGTGTGTAAAGTAAAACAGCAGCATCCTGATTCATTGTGTGAATCTTCTCATTTCAAACCATTTGATGTTTAAGTGAAGTTTTTTTTTAGCTATTACCGAGTACATCCTCATGATGGCTTGGGTACGTGTGCACAAAATAACACACATCACATATGGGAATGCCTCCCACAGAGTAAAAGGACTTGACAACTTCTTTGATAATCTTTCCCGAAGTTAGAAATGTAAGCCTTTTAACACTTCCTCCAATTACTATTAACTGCAACAAGTCACCATCAAGTCTAATGGTTATTTGAAAAGACTCACACATGATAAATTGTGACGAGCAAATCAGCAAACCTACAGTAGTATAATTAGTCTTTGCAATAGCCTGAGTGTCATCATTTAACACCAGCAAAGTCTATATATCTTTTTAGAGAGTAGACCTGGTTTAGGTAACAGCAATTCCTGTCTGTTGTTGCATAACAATGTCTAGCCGATGACTGCCTGGCCTGACTAAGAGTTGCAGTTCAATAAAACACAGTGGTCTGTTACATCCTAGACACACATGTATTATTACCTTATGTTTATGGAATTTGTTCCAGTTAACCCTATCCATTTGTCTGTTCATTGCCTGGAATAGGGGCACAGATATTGTGTCATGTATCTCTATAAATATGGCCTTGGTTTGGGAGATATTTATATCCTCCTTCATTACTCCTGAATATGGCACCCACTTGGGTTTTGCTCCCTGATATTCACTAGTCATTAAAGGGATACTATAAGTGCCAGGATTATAAAGCTGTGTTCCTGGAACTATAGCTCTTCCTTGAATCAATGCTTTCCTATGGGGGAAAATCTGAAGCTGGATGCAGCACTAAGTGCAATAGGGATACTGCACCCTCACCACTTCAAAGAGCTGAATTGGTCTGGGTGCCTATTGTGTCCTTTAATTGTGATCTTCAAACCTGAGAACCTTTTAGAACTCCAATGAGTTCCAATGTAATGCCCAATTCTCCACATTCTTAGATTGATAGATTAGATCCTTAAAGGGACACATTAAGCACCCAGACCACTTCAGCTCATTTTTAATTAACTGCAATAATTACCTTTATGGGTTAACCTTTGGTCACCTAACTGACGTTAGGACAGTCTCACACTAAGCATAAGGACATCCAACTTCACCCGAAATCCCATAGGAAACCATTGTATAAGGCTTTCCTATGGGACTGTTCTGATGTGAGCACGGCCATTGCCACACATCTCCCCCACTGGCTCACGTTGGCAAGGGAAGAGCAAAGGCAGACTATGAGCCAGCGCCAAGGGACATCAAGGCTGGACTCAGGTAAGTGTCAGAAAGGTTTTTTAAACCTGTCTACACTATGGAGAAGGGGGCATTGACATATGGGGGCACTACAGGGAACCATAGTGCAAGGAAAAAAACTCTATACTGTTCCTTTAAGTGACTTGCTGTCACAATTCACACCATGTCATATGGAAGGCCAGTTATGGTCACCCACCCGGTGGCTCCAAGGGGAACTCTGGACCCTTTTTGCCTTAGTCCTCCTGTCTTGCCTCTGAGCCTCACTCAGCTCATGTTTCAGCTTGATGTTAATCTTACCTTGTCTCCAGCACTAGGGTGTTGGACTTTACCTGTGGCTCCTCCTGTCAATCTCAGTCCACCTGAAACAGATGCCTAATTAGCCAGGTAAAGGACACTGCATCTCCCTGAGGGCAGGGTCAGTTCATTGACTCTCATTCTCCTGTTTGGTTCCTGTTATTGTGTATCCTGATCCAGTGTTCTCCAGACTGATTCCAGCTTCCGACCTTGGCTTATTTCTTCGTTTACTTTGACCTCTGGCTTCCCTTGACTTCGGCTTTCCTCGACCACTCTTCTGCTTGTCCTTGCCTGTACTGTGACTTGCAGCACTGTTCTGCAAAGACTCACAGCCCAGGTGGCTTCTTACCTGATCACCTTGGTCTGTGTTTATTTGCAAGGGTGAGCATATAACTCTGCACGTCGGACTCCACACCAGATAAGCTCCTGACACTTGCTAATCCAAGTGCTTCTTCCACTAGAAATATGCACTTTCCTAAGAACTGCAGTCCAGTCAGTGTGCTCCATTTTTATATCCAATAGAATTGGTTTCATTTGAACTAGCCAATGGGCCAGAAACCTCTAGGTTCTACCACTGCGGAGAGAGAGGTTCCTAAACCTATAGCAGGAACAGTATTTAAAGAGCTTAAAGCAGCTCTATGACTCTCTGGGATTTTTGCATATATTGCAGTGACCCTGCTCGCATGGAGTGCAGCAGAGGGTGAGTTTTACTTACCTGAACCTGTCTCTGGTGGCCACTGTCACCTTTATCCGGTTGGTCCTCTTTAGTTCCTTGTAATTTATCTGTCAGAAGCCCATGTCAGTTGTGCATGCACGAGAGTGCAACTCAGAGCTATTGAGGATTCTGCTAAACTGCAGGAGTCTACATAGATAAAGCCTTTTTTCCTCCAATCATCTCCTCTCAGCCAGCAGTTCTCTTCACTTAGCTAAGCCTAACACTGCAAGGCTTAGCTCATTGGCAGAGAGTGATCATCTGCAAGGCTTAGCTCATTGGCAGAGAATGATCATCTGCAAGGCTTAGCTCATTAGCAGAGAGTGATCATCTGCAAGGCTTAGCTCAATGGCAGAGAGTGATCATCTGCAAGGCTTAGCTCATTAGCAGAGAGTGATCATCTGCAAGGCTTAGCTCATTAGCAGAGAGTGATCATCTGCAAGGCTTAGCTCAATGGCAGAGAGTGATCATCTGCAAGGCTTGGCTCATTGGCAGAGAGTGATCATCTGCAAGGCTTGGCTCATTGGCTGAGAGTGAGACAGCCACTAGAGGTTGGATTAACCCTCAGTGTAAGCATAAAAGTTTCTTTGAAACTTCTCAAAAACTGCTATGTTTTCAGCTGTAGGGTTAAAACTAGAGGGACCTGACACCCAGACCACTTCATTGAGCTGAAGTGGTCTGGGTGCCTATAGTGGTCCTTTAATGACATTTCTCTGTGTATTATGCATATATAAATGTACATTAACCCCTGCCCTACCACGGACGTATCAGGTACATCCGACAAAAAATGGTCCATAATGACCTCGGACGAACCTGATACGTCCGCTGCTATTTTGAGCGCTGGAAGCTCTGATAGTATTGCAGCGATGATCTGCATGTAGTCTTGGAACTCGTCTAGGAGGCGGTCCACCATCCTTTGAAAAGTAGCCGGAGCGTTTTTCATCCCAAACAGTATTAACCTTAAACTGGTATAAGCCGAATGGGGTGACAAAGGCCGACTTTGAATGGTTTCAGGGGCCAGGGGGATCTGCAAATACCCCTTACAAAGATCAGTTGTCATGAGGTATTGGCCCCGGGCCATCCTGTCCAATAGTGCGTCTATCCTAGGCATGGGATACGCATCTGACACGGTTTTATCATTTAACCTCCGGTAGTTCATGCAGAACAGGGTTGTACCGTTCTGTTTAGGTACGAGGACTACAGGGGAGGCCCAGGGGCTGTCAAAAGGCTCAATTACCCCCAGTTGGAGCATCTCTTGGATCTCCTTGAACATGTTGTCCCATACCGACTCAGGGATTCGGTAGGGGGTCTGGCGCATAGGGAGTTGGCCTGGTGTCTCTACCCAGTGAGTTGCCAAAGGGGTGTAGCCAGGCACATTAGAGAAGGCATCTCTCTTCTCTCTTAAAGGACCACTCTAGGCACCCAGACCACTTCAGCTTAATGAAGTGGTCTGGGTGCCAGGTCCAGCTAGGGTTAACCCATTTTTTCATAAACATAGCAGTTTCAGAGAAACTGCTATGTTTATGAATGGGTTAAGCCTTCCCCTATTTCCTCTAGTGGCTGTCTCATTGACAGCCACTAGAGGCGCTTGCGTGCTTCTCACTGTGATTTTCACAGTGAGAGCACGCCAGCGTCCATAGGAAAGCATTATGAATGCTTTCCTATGTGACCGGCTGAATGCGCGCGCAGCTCTTGCCGCGCGTGCGCATTCAGCCGACAGGGAGGAGAGAAGGAGGATCAGAGGAGGAGAGCTCCCCGCCCAGCGCTGGAAAAAGGTAAGTTTTAACCCCTTTCCCCTTTCCAGAGCCGGGCGGGAGGGGGACCCTGAGGGTGGGGGCACCCTCAGGGCACTATAGAGTTGTTGTAACTCGCTCCGCTCCTGTGGGCTCAACCGATCTCCCAGCTTGACCACTTCTATTTCACTAGACTGGCTTCTGTCCCCTAAGAGGTCTGGAAGGGGAAGGTTGTCAAAGTCCTCAGAGGCAGGGGCACAGATCGCTGTCACCTCCTCTGAGCGCTCGTGGAAGGGCTTCAGCATGTTTACATGGATCATGCGTCGCCTCCCCGATCCAGAGCACGGGCCGATCACATAAGTAGTGTCGCATATCTGCTCCATCACTTTGTATGGGCCTTGCCAGGCAGTCTGTAGCTTATCATGTCGGACAGGTTTTAAAACTAAAACTTTCTGTCCTACCTTAAGGCTACAGTCCCTAGCTCCCTGATCGTAACATGTGCAATGGCACTGTTGGGCCACCTGGAGGTTCTCACATACCGCCCTAGTCAACTCCTCCAGTTGGTTCCTGAATCCCAACACACAGGGCACAATGGGGGTACCATCGTCCACACTGGAGAAGCTGCTTTGTTTATGACATTTCTACTTTCTCCCTCCCAATGTTCCCGGATAAGGTCTAAGGGTCCCTGTGACGAGATCAATCTCGCCACTGTGCATTGGAGGAGCCTGGTTGCCCGCCTGCTGCCATTAGACTATGGCCCCATATTGAAACGCTTGATTTTCCCCTGCAAAGACACGAAAGCCGGGTCATTTGGTACTTGCCCTATTTGAATAGTGATACCCCAGATAGCTATGCCATGGAGCCCATTTGTATAACGAAAGACTATGTGAAAGACTTCGGCTCCATGGCAATTGAACTGTATGTATGAGATCTGAGCGCCATTCAGTAATAATGTGCTCTCAGATCTAAGCTATCTGGGGATATGTTTTATGCAATAGCTGCACAGTTATATATTTTTCTGTATTTTATTGTCTTTTGCTACCATGTGTTCGATGGAGTTTTGCCTCTGTCCTTGGAGATAATTGGATTACTTCCCAATTATCTCCAGGATAGAAGACTCTGTGGAATTGGTTTTGGGCAGAAAAGTCATGCTTCCTTTGGTCATAAAGGACATCGATCTATCTTTTGAACCAATGGACCAATTTGGATGATATTGACATATGTTTGTATTTGGAGTATGCTGATTATGAAAATTTATGTGAATGTGATGTATACTTTTAAAGTTATGAATAATGTGGAAAAACTGTATTTCGATGCCTGTGATAATTACATTAACCCATTGTGTAAGGTAATTGTATCAGAGACAGAGGGGAGGATTTTGTGTGTGAGTGTCTGAGTGTATTGAAAGTGTTTATTGGTTATTTTCCAAAACCCTGTGGGCGGTACTAAGGTGTAAGAATGTGTATAGCTTGGTTGCTTCATCTAAGTGTTGCTTCTAAGTGTGTGGTTGGAGATATTCTGGAGAGTTTTACAGAAGCTTCAACTGTCTAAGATTTTGCTAAGAGTTTTCTTTTCTACTGTTACAGGTAAGATTCATCTGTAGGAAAAGGTTACTGATTGCACAAGGTTTGATTTCCTGTTGGTAATTATAAGGCATTTGATTTGATTAGTTAGCTACTTTCTATTAATTGCTGTTTAATTAGCTATTATTTGCAATAGCAAATAGCACAGTCAGTAAAAAAGGGGGACAAAACCTTTTTTAGATACATAAATGAGAAAAGAAAAGTAAAACAAGGATTAGTTAGATTAAAAACAAAAGAAGGAAGGTATGTAGAAGAGGATAAAGGTCTAGCTGACTGCCTCAATGGATATTTTTGTTCTGTATTTACAGATGAAAATGAAGGGAAGGGACCTCAGTTAAGAAAAAGGATAAATGAGTCATTTATTACACATGAGTTTACAGAGGAAGAGGTTCTATTTCAACTGTCAAAAGTAAAGACAAATAAGTCAATGGGACCTGATGGAATACACCCAATACAGAGCTTAGTGGTGTACTAGCAAAACCATGAACAGATTTATTTAACCAATCATTGTTAACAGGAGTAGTACCAGAAGATTGGAAGTTAGCGAATGTTGTGCCTGTGATGAAGTGCCCTTCGCCACTTGTGCCTGGAGAGGACTGCTTGCCCGCCTCTTGCCCTGTGACTATGGACCCTGGGAGATTTGGCCCGTTCAATTCAGTATGTTAGGAGTTATGTATTTTTGTATCCTTTTGTGTTTTACTGGGAACATGTGCTCAATGGAGTCTGCTTCTATCCCTGGATAATTGGATTACTTTCCCCATTGTCTCCAGGCTAGAGGGCTCTGTAAAACCAGTTTGGGCCAGATAGCCATGCTGCCAGCCAGGCCCCAAAAGATACTTTGCTAACTTCTGAACCCCTGGTCTGATTCATGCCATTTTTTGATATGTTGTTTCCCTGAATGGATTGATTGTGAATATATAATTTTTATGTGAATGTGATGTATATTTTAGAAGTTATGAATGCTGTAAAAACTGTATTATTTCTGGCCAGCAGATAATTGAGCTTTGTGTATTGTAGAAACTCAATTATCTAGCCTGGCACAGAGGAGGAGTTTTGTGTTGCATAAACTGTGAGTTCTGTGTGCCAGTAAATCAGTCTTGTTCCAGCATTAAGCCTTGGCTCATGTTTGGGGGATTGGAGAAATACACTCTGGGGATTGCTACAATCACTATACTCCCCAGGGTATGATCACTAAGTTCTGCTAAGAGCTTGTTCCTGTTCCTGCTCTCTGGGGAAAGAGAGGTTCACCCACTGGAAGCTGGATCCTGGCCTTGGGTCCAGGGTGGGTGGAGACAGCAGAGACCCCGGCGCAGTTGCATCGCTGGAAGTGGGGTCTGCAGTGCTGATGGTGTCGGTTGGAGTGCTTGGAGTCCTCAGCGAGCACTAGGAGCATCGATTGGCGGAGGTACTCAGTCAGAGTGCCAGCGTTCCGTCAGAGTGCCCATTAACAAGAAAGGTAATAGGGAGGAGTCAGGCAACTATAGGCCAGTAAGCCTTACTTCAGTAGTGGGGAAAGTGATGGAAACCATGTTAAAGGGTAGGATTGTTGAACATCTAAAAACACATGGATTTCAAGATCAGAGACAACATGGGTTTACTTCAGGGAGATCATGCCAAACTAATTTTTTTGATTGGGTAACTAAAATTATAGATCAGGGTGGTGCAGTAGACATTGCTTACCTAGATTTCAGTAAGGCTTTTGACACTGTTGCACATAGAAGGCTTATCAATAAACTGCAATCTTTAAGTTTGGATTCCAATATTGCTGAATGGGTAAGGCAGTGGCTGAGTGACAGGCAACAGAGGGTTGTAGTCAATGGAATATATTCGAAGCTTGGATTGTCACCAGTGGGGTACCTCAGGGATCTGTACTTGGACCCATTCTCTTTAATATTTTTATTAGTGATATTGCAGAAGGTCTTGATGGTAAGGTATGTCTTTTTGCTGATGATACTAAGATATGTAACAGGGTTGATGTTCCAGGAGGGATAAGCCAAATGGCAAATGATTTAGGTAAACTAGAAAAATGGTCAGAATTGTGGTAACTGACATTTAATGTGGATAAGTGCAAGATAATGCATCTTGGACGTAAAAACCCAAGGGCAGAGTACAGAATATTTGATAGAGTCCTAACCTCAACATCTGAGGAAAGGGATTTAGGGGTGATTATTTCTGATGACTTAAAGGTAGGCAGACAATGTAATAGAGCAGCAGGAAATGCTAGCAGAATGCTTGGTTGTATAGGGAGAGGTATTAGCAGTAGAAGGAGGGAAGTGCTCATGCCATTGTACAGAACACTGGTGAGTAGTGATGTCCCGAACGGTTCGCCGAACGGTTCGCAACGAACGGTTCACCACGGACTCATCATTGAGTAAACTTTGACCCTGTACCTCACAGTCAGCAGACACATTCCAGCCAATCAGCAGCAGACCCTCCCTCCCAGACCCTCCAACCTCCTGGACAGCTCACTAAGAATGCAGCTTCAAAATGGATGCTGTCCAGGAGGTGGGAGGGTCTGGGAGGGAGGGTCTGCTGCTGATTGGCTGGAATGTGTCTGCTGACTGTGAGGTACAGGGTCAAAGTTTACTCAATGGCGAACAGTTCAGGGCAAACCATTCGCGAACCGTTCGGCGAACCGTTCAGGACATCACTACTGGTGAGACCTCACTTGGAGTATTGTACACAGTACTGGAGACAGTATCTTCAGAAGGATATTGATACCTTAGAGAGAGTTCAGAGAAAGGCTACTAAACTGGTTCATGGATTGCGGGATAAAACTTACCAGGAAGGGTTAAAGGATCTTAACATGTATAGCTTGGAGGAAAGACGAGACAGGGGGGATATGATAGAAACATTTAAATACATAAAGGGAATCAACACAGTAAAGGAGGAGACTATATTTAAAAGAAGAAAAACTATCACAACAAGAGGACATAGTCTTAAATTAAAGGGACAAAGGTTTAAAAATAATATCAGGAAGTATTACTTTACTGAGAGGGTAGTGGATGCATGGAATAGCCTTCCAGTGGAAGTGGTAGAGGTTAACACAGTAAAGGAGTTTAAGCATGCGTGGGATAGGCATAAGGCTATCATAACTATAAGATAAGGCCAGGGACTAATGAAAGTATTTAGAAAATTGGGCAGGCTAGCTGGGCCGAATGGTTCTTATCTGCCGTCACATTCTATGTTTCTATGTATATAAGAACAATAAACCCACAGCTCTGTCTGTTCACTGCTTGACCCTCAACACTGAGCTTTGTCTCGTTCTTGGGGGGATTTATTGTATGCTGTTCCAGTTCGACTGCTAGGAGTATAAACCTTTCGTATGGTTTTTCCTATTCGGCTGTTTACAGCATTCGTATGGTTTTGGTTTGGCTGTTTACGGCATTCACATGGTTTCTTGTTCGGGTGGATTGGTGTCTACAGTAGCTTACTGTATATCTGGAAGGGAATATCTGGTGGGTTTCTGTGAATGTTCGTAGCATCTGTTTCAATGTTCCATTAGAGCCCATTGGTTTGAGGGTGATAGGGGGTGCTCACTATTGGCATTATGCCACAGATCCTCCAGAGGTGGTGGGTAATCTCTGCCGTAAATTGAGTAACCCTATCCGAGATTATCTCCCGGGGTAAACCCATTCGGGAGAAAATCAGCATGAGGGCCTCGGCTATAGTTTCGGCATTGATATTGGTTAGGGCCACCGCCTCTGGATACCTGGTAGCATAGTCAACCACCGTCGATATGTATTTCTTGCCGGAGGGGCTAGGCTTTGCTAACGGCCCCACTATATCTACCGCTATGCGGCTAAAGGGCTCTTCAATTATGGGTAGTGTGTGAAGCTTAGCTTTCCTGCGATTCCCCACTCTTACCCACCCTAGCAACGCTTGGCATAATCCTGCTCTTCTGGTTATTAATCTCTACATACATTCAATCAACTAATGTGCTCTATAAAAAGTGTTATTCTCGTGACAAATTCCATTAGCTACGTGGAGGTGCCTCCTAAAAAACACCAAGCAAGGTTTGCTAGTGCGCACCTTCAAATTCTGTCCAGGGAATACATGGAATGTAAGTTTTGTTTATCCAGAGGATTCATCTAATATATAAATATACCCAGGCTTGTTCGCTCACTGTTGCAGCTCCAGTCAGATTTCCAGCTCACTAAAAACATAACAGTTTCCAAGAACAAATTACTGGAAATTTCAACAGCTTTCTTATATAGGAGAGAAAGTAAACAGCTCAATCTTTGTGTTATGATATGTTAAGCGCTCAGTACAAGGCAATGAGTGGCTGTATCAGTTCAAACATCTGAAAAAAAAAAAATGAAGAGTTTGTTTTTCAGAAGCCCAGAGTATCAGCACTATTAAAAAAAAAAAAAAAAAGTGGAGTGGCCTTTAAATAGTGAAAGGGCAAGATAGCTTTGTAACAATAAGTAATTGTGGAGATGAAGGAGGTGTTTAATTTGAAAAGTATGTTTAAAGAGTCTGACCTGGGGTTGCAAGGAAAGAAAGATCTTAAAGGTTGGAGAATGTTTGATTGATAGTCGAGTTTTGCCCTTTAGTCAGGGAAAGGTTGTGAGCCATAGGAGTGAGGATGAGCTCTGATACATGCCCTGGTCCTGTCATTAATGGTATGAGAAGGTTTCCACTGATGTGTCATTAATTACTGGAGTTATTACAATTACAAGCAATAATAGAAATCATGCACAAAGTGCTCTTTTCACCCTCTCCTCTGATTCACAGTTTGGCTTCTGTTTCAAGGTAACCAACAGCACAATGGAGGAAGGTGTAACATATCTCGGATTTCATATTAAGGGGTTCTGTCACGTGCACATTTGTTTTACTTGCTGAGCAAAAGATGAGCAGTATTTGAAAAAAAGCATGGAAGCATGCAAAAACAGTGTGTGAGTGCCTATCACAGATACATTGTTTTGCCGTTTCGAGCTCTTATAAAAAAGTCGAGGAGTGCATGAATTTCACAATGTTTTCAGTACAGATCTGCTAGGCAGCAAGGAGGCACAAATCGTCCCTCACAGGATGGAGGACTTTGAATATGAGCTCAGTACCCACCACAACGTCCACACCAGAGAAGCTGCTTTGTTTATTACATTTCTACAGCAAGTTAACTCCACTCATTTCACACTGAAAAGGTTTAGAAATAATATCAGGAAGTATTACTTTACTGAGAGGGTAGTGGATGTATGGAATAGCCTTCCAGCTGAAGTGGTAGAGGTTAACACAGTAAAGGAGTTTAAGCATGCGTGGGATAGGCATAAGGCTATCCTAACTATAAGATAAGGCTAGGGACTAATGAAGAAAGTATTTAGAAAATTTGGGCAGACTAGATGGGCCGAATGGTTCTTATCTGCCGTCACATTCTATGTTTCCATGTTTCTACTGAAAGTTCATGCAGCAGCAAAGAATCCAATCATTTTCTGTACTAGAAATATAGGAGTGGACCCTTTTAATGCTGCAGCCACCTGAGCACTCTATAGAGAGCCTCAGGCGGCTGCAGCACTGCCTCTCTTCTCACCTCCCCTTCCCTCTGTAGCGTGGGTGGCCAAGCTCCTCTCCGGTCCGCGGTACAGGAAACAAAAGCTCCTGTACCATGGACCGAAAAGGAGCTCTGCGACCCATGTTACAGAGGGAAGGGGAGGTGAGAAAAATATAGGGGGGAGGGGGGAACAAGAAGGATACGGGGGGGGGAGAGTGGAGTTAGAAGGACAAGGGGGAGGGGAGTTAGAAGGACACGGGGAAGGGGAGTAAGAAGGACACGGGAGGGGGAGGAGTAAGAAGAACATGGGGGAGTAGTAAGAAGAACATAGGGAGGGTGGAGTAAGTATAGCATAGGGGGAGTAATAAGAACATGGGGAGGGAATAAGAAGAACATAGGGAGGGAGGAGGAGTAAG